CACATCATTATTTCTGTCTCATTCAGATGCTTCTCCTGTCACCAGATGAAAACTCAGCAGAATGCATGGCTCACTCTTGGGTTACAGAGGGGCCCATGGTCACTTTAAGTGACAAAATACGGACTTGACTCAAAATTAAAGTGCCCAGTCCCAAGAGATTAAACAAATCTTCACCCTTTATTCAGAAGGTGATTTCTCCTTTCATTCCCTAGACGCCTAGGCCATCAGGGCCCACAGGTGGGGGAGCGAAAGGGGGAGGAGAGGTGAGGGAGAAGACAGATCTCACTTGACAGTGACCGGCACTGCCCTAAGCACACCTGGCAGGGCTGATGCTGATGCTTGCCCTCCGAGCAGTTTGGTTGCCTTGACTGCTAGCTGGGCTGTTCCTGGGGCGATGACCCCAATACAGGTCATGCATATTTTCCTTTGACTAGTCACTTCTCTTCCACATTTTAGGATCCCATTTACTGTTGTTTCACTCCATTGTTTTGAGGGTCCCCTCACCTCTGGCAGGAGCCCTGTTTGGCAGAAGAATCTTGGGCAGGATACCTTTGACAATGACCTCTGTCACTAGCCAACAATTTCCTAAATAGGTCACATAAAAGATTGATGAATGATATTTCATTAGGAACTTCCAGCTTCCATTTAGGATAGAAAATTAGAAGGAATGTCACTCTGATTTCAACCGCAAGAACAAGCTGAATCGCCTACATAAAGATGGATTTCTTGAATCCACCAGACAGCAGAGGTCACGGGGCAGTAAACTAGCATGAAATTTAAGGAAAGACAGATACCTCCAAAGAGAGACACAGTGTGACAACTGGCTTAAATGCAGCAGAGCACCTGGGGAAGACAAGGCCACCATAGAAGTGTGTAAGAAGATTGCAGCTAAAACTTTATAATGCATCAATAGATTTTAATGATTTGCAAATTTTAATGATTTGGCAGAGCATGAGCATATAGAACGTGTAGAAGCTATAGACATGATGGGAATTTGCACCCATTTACAGGCTTTTCTCCACAGATCTCACAGAGTGCTCACAAGAAAGACTGGGGTCAGAGTAGGAGGGCAGAGAAAGCCTCCTATGGTGGTGCAGGTTTGTGAGAGAGGAACCAAAGCCTGTAGCCACTAGGAGAAGAGCAGCAAACCCATGAGGGTATACATGTAGACTTGTTACAGCTGGGGAAAGGGAACAAAGAAACCTTCTTGTCCTGGGAGAGGGGCAGGAAACTGTCTCCCTTACAAGAGCCACCAAAGACACTAGGCAGAGTTTATCTGCCCTGGGGAAAAGAGCAGATTCACTGAGTAGGCCGTAGCCTGAAGACCCAGGGACATAGTCCCTGCCTGAGACTGAGACTAAACCAGGAAAGCAGAATACCTCTTCCGTACCAGGCTAGCAAGTGTCTAGTGACAGTCTAGTACAGGGGAAGGAACAAGAGTGTGGTATGAGACCCCCTCTGAAGCACAGGCTCATAGGGAAGCATAAAGACTATCTCCTGCCATAAGCAAAGTAACACTAATTGCAAAAAACTGGTGAATGAAAAAACTGTGATATATCTGTATCACAAAATACAATGCAGCAGTGAAAGGGAACCAACTATCGATACAAACAACATGGCTGGATCTCAAATGCGTTATGTTAGGTGAATAAAGACAGACTTAAATGTCTACATACTGTATGGTTACACTTATATGACATTCTAAAACAGGGAAACCTATAGAGACAGAGAGCAGATCAGTAGTTGCCAAAGGCAAAGGTGTGTTGACTACAAAGGGTTATGAAGACTTTTGAGGGGTGGTGGAACTGTTCTATATCTTGATTGTGTTGGTGGAGACATGTAATACATTTGTCAAAACTTATAGAACTATTCACTAAAAAGGGTAATTTTACTGTATATAACTGTATTAGTCCATTTCTGTTGCTTATAAGAAAACATACAAAACTGGGTAATTTATAAAGAAAATGAAATTATTGCTTACAGTTTCTGAGGCTGGGAAGTCCAAAGTCCGTCTGGTGGTGGTGATGGTGACCAGGGGTCTCACATTGCAAGATGGTGGAAGCAGAAAGAGCAGACAGAGAAAGAGAGAGAGAGAGAGAGACTCTCCTCTTCTTTTAACGCCCTCAGAACCATGCCCTTGACCACCATTTTTAATCCATTCACTACTGCACAGTCCTACAATCCAATCACCTCTTCAAGTCTCCACTTTTAATCAGAATAATAGGATTTCCTACCCTCTTCACAGTCACAGTGGGGGATAAGTTTCTAACACATAAAACTTGGAGGACACAATTCAAGCTTCAGTGAGTTTTGGGTGGATATAATTCAATCCACTACAATAACTTATATCTCAAAGATATTTAAAAATAAAAAAGTACCTTATTAAAATTAAGAAGTTTTGTTCATTCAAAGACACTAAGAGAGTAAAGGGACAAACCATCGATTGAGAGAAATAAAAAGAAATAGGGTTTACATACAGAATATAAGTAAAAAGCAGGCAGCCCAATAAAAAAATGGGCAAAAGACTTGAGTGGATATTTCACAAAAGAAAATATCCAAATGGCTAATAAGCATATGAAAAGATGCTCACCATCTTTATTCTAAATACAAATGAAAACCATAATGATGTACTACTACTCAGTCACCAGATTAGCTAAAATTAAAGATTGGCAATACCAATGTTGGTGAAGATGTGAAGCAATTGAAACTGGTTGCAAATTTGTATAACCACTTTGAATAACTATTTAGCAGTATTTACTAAAGGTAAACACCCCTGAGGCCTGATGATCCAGCAATTCTGCTCCTAAGCATCTATCCAATAGAAATGAATGCATAAGTCCACCAAAAGACATGTTCAAGAACATTCATAGCACCATTACCATACTAATAAAAACCTGGAAACAACTTAAATTTCCATTAACAGGAAAACATACAAATAAATTGTGAGATATATATATATATATATATATATATATACACACACACACACACACACACATACACAGTGAAATACTACACAACAATAAAAAAGAACAAATGACTATAACATGCAACAGGGATGAAACAGACACAATGAGTGGAAGAAGTACAAAGGAGTTTACACTGCCTGATTTGATTAATATGAAGTTCAAGAATAGACAAAAATCATCTATGGTGATGAAGTCAAAATAGCGGTGACAGATGAGAGCAGGTAGTATTTACTAAAAGGCATGAGGGAGCCTTCTGAGCTACAGGAAATGTTCCATATCTTGATCTTGGCGGTGTTTACATGGGAGTATATGTATATGTAAAGGTTCACCCAATAGCACCTTAAGTACTGTGCACGTTACTGCATGTATGTTTACTTCAATGCAGTACAATACAAAAAAAGTCACTTACAGCACAGCTCAAGGGCTATTGATAATGTGTGCAAAATGAATATAAACAGCCTAGGAGTTTAAGGTCTTGCCATGGCCCCAGATTCCTGTGTGTTTCTTAGCCTGCAGATGGAGAAGAAACATGCATTAGCTACATAGCCAGTGGTAGATCGGCCTTGATATAGCTTCTATTTCTTTTAGGTCCCAGGCTTATGCAATGTCAAACGAAATATCTCTTGTTAAAAAAAAAACATACAGAGCAGGCATTCTTCCTCTAATGTTTTAAAACAGAGACATTTGTTTTATATGCTGTTAATTGCTAGAGCGTAACGTCTGCCAGGTTATTTTTTTCTAAGAGAATAAAATTTTTTGTTGCACCCTCATTCTCCTACTGTATTATTTATCAATAAATCAAGACTTGTGCAGTTTATGTGTGCTGTACCTCAATACAGTTTTTTTTTT